AGTAGTACATGCAATAAAATGAAAAAGGCGCTTAGGCGATAGAACACTTGGTCTGGGATGGTGACCGTCTCTGATAACTTCAATATGGTTTTGTTTTTGCCAACCATAAGCCTTGCTTTCGATATCGAGGGAAACATTGAATGCTAATACTGTATTGGACTTCTTTTGATGTCACTGTTTCATCAAACATAATGCATAGCATCAAGTTGCTAATGTGAACATTCTTGCCGAGAACAATGAGGATTTGGTTACTTTTTGCTGGCATAGAATTTTGAAGAGTTGGGCGATATTCGCGGTTCGTTAATCTCCAACCTTATTCAGATATCTCCCGTGATGGATGGGCAGATTGCCTCTGCAAATGGAGTTCATAATTGGCAAGGTGAGTTGAAAAGATATGAAGCGATCAGTTGCCGCAAAGTTTGATTTCCCTCCAGGGAGTATTTTATAAGAAGTGATTCTGGTGTTTTTTCAGCACCTCATGAAACTTCAAACTACTCACTATTTGACGCTACTGTCGCTAGTGGTCCGCCACCAGCGCATCCTCCCCCGCCTCTACCAACAAAGGACGTTGTTGTCCATGGAGTGAGTTGATAGTAGTTTGTGTGGTGTTAAATTCTACCAGACCACCGACAATTTATTTTTACGTGTCCGCCCTTGCAGTACAAATGATCAATTGTTGTATGGTTGCGTGTGCTTGCAGTCCTTATCATGGATATGTACTAATGTTCTAGTCTCTGGCTTCTGGACCCGGACCAGCACTGGACGTTTTTGGGCAGTCGATCCAATGGGATCCTGTACCAGTGGCACCGATCCCACGCGCCGAAGATCCGTTCGATCTCCAGTGGAGTCGATTAGCAGTTGGTTCTGCGATGGCGTCCAATCCGTTTGCCACGGAAGTTCAACGAGAGCTGCGAATATGATGTGAAAATTTTACCTCATTCAATTTCCATCGAATTTTGCCCATTATCGTCCCTGTAGTCATACGTTCTAATTGAGACAGTAGCATATCTGCTAATCGTTAGTGCATGAGGAGATTCGAGTATACTTCTTCAAACGAATTCACGTGTTCTTGAGCTCATACTGATTTTCGAAATTACTTATTTGTGTTTCGTAGCCTGTTTTATGTATTGTTAAAATGGGCAGGTTTCGAAAAATATCATTCGTACATCGATTCACCAAGAACGTTTTAATTGACTGTGACTATTAATACAACATAACAATGAATCGAATCTACGGTAATTGTTGTATAGCATCAGTGACTTACTACTATTATATCCTAATGTGATGCGTGGAAATCCTTTTTAGGTTGCCTTAACGTTATGAATCCCGCATTGTTGTTCAAAGACGTTAATCTGATTTGTTTTAATACCGGTCAAACCAGTAATCGATATTGTAACGGCCTCATTACTAGATGCAAGGCATTGTGACAGATTAGTTTTCATTAATAAATTCATCATTATGAAATTGTTATCCGTATTTGTTGTATTATGGCATCGGTATGTGATAGCTTTGTCAATGAATCTTCCTTTGTTTACGATAACGTTAATGGTTAGTTTATACGAAATTCGAGATGACTAGCGCAACCCCAGCTAGTCGGGATGATGCAGCGCTTGTGGCCGGCTGGTAAGTTTTTGAATGAATTTTGAGATTTATTGAATTTGAGATCATTTCTTATTTGTTGTGGGATTAAGCAGTGTACAGTGGTCTCACAGAGCCGATGGTTTTTTTTTTCATTTTCTAGCATTGTTCAAAGGTAAGAAGAACTGGGGGAAGGGCTTGCTTCAATGAATCATTGTGGACCGCTGCTGCAATTTGTGTACTTTCAAATATTTCAGCATTTCTTATCAGTAGTTAATAACGTACCCTCAGTTTCCTGAGACCGTATGCCATCCTTTCCCCAAGGGCAGGAGATGGAAGTCCTTTTCTTTTTTTTTTTTTCAGAATTTTCCCAACAAGAAGTTGGGAAAAGAAGAAAGTTTTTTCAGAAGTTTTTCCTCTGAGAGAGAGCTCATTTGCAAAGTGTTCGTATATGTGAAAGCCCAAACGTTTCAATTTATTGGAAAACACAAAAACGGAATTATTCGAAGAAGAGATTTTCGTTCCCTCCCTTCCAGAGTAAGGATACGGTATAAGTTAATCAGTAGGTTCAAAAATATGTGGCATTGATTTTATGAGACCACCAGCAGTTGTATTACTGTTGCAGTGCAGAATCAGTGGGTTATTTGGTGCGATCTTGGAAAAACTGACATAGCCGTATGGCTCGGTGCTAAATCTGCATTGCAGACACACGTGGCTGTTGGGTACAAAGCGTACCTTTAGTTCCATGAACAGTAGGTGTTTATTTCCGGAAATATTAGTATATCCTGGAAACATGCAAGAACGGGGTGTTATCCAGTAAGGGGGCCACGTGGTGCGACACTTGCTACCACCTACAGGATTGCAATTGTTAGAAGAAAGAAATACCGTGTATTTCGGGAAACAGCAAACGTCGAGTGCAGACCACACACTATAAGTGACGACAGCCCAAAAAAGTTTTTTCTTTCCTTTTTGGCCGTCGTCGCTTTTGGTGCGTGGTGTGCACTCGACGCTCTTCTCTCTTTCCGAAATGGAGGGTACCTGGCGTGCGTGAATCATTTTGCTTCCGTTTTTACACTCACCCTGGATTTTCCTTCCCCTGCAAAAAAAGGATTACTCCAGACGATGTGGACTTTGGCATCACATGCCTTGCCACCCCTTACTGGGTACGCCCAAAAACCCTGTGCAAATCAATGAGAAGAACCATCCTTCGTGTGGCACGTGCATCATGGTGTTATAAAAGGATCAAGGGGTGGAGAAGGTCATGACCAGACTCAAGACAAGCTATTTAACTATGGTATTTTACAGACGGAGAGGTCCTCTCGGCCCGATAAAGAATGACCGAAAAACATGCTACGAGTACAAGAAGGTTAGGGTAAAGCTACGGGTAGGAGGCAGGGTTGTCATCTGTCGAAGAAATTTGGTTAAAAATCACTCTTCAAAGACTGATAAAACCCTACACCAGTTATGACTCACAAGTGATTGCCGTCTCTACGTCCTGCTCCCCTCCTTATCCATCCTACCCGGAATACCTCACTATTCCTGAAAAGTGTCTGTTTTGTGGAGGTTGCAAGACTACCTGACCATTCGTTGAAAATGTATGTTG